AAATAACCAAAAAATTACTAAATTAGCCTGTTCCCAAACGAGGCCTGAATTTCTGTTAATACACTCTACTTTTTAACTATCTACATTCACTTACACTTTCTTTTATGTCCGTTTACTAGACTGAATTAGGAATTTCATGCTCTACAAGAAGCCCAAGATGGAGAATGATGTTGCCATTGATGATGAAAAGCCGAGGATTGCCAGGAAGGGGAATGGAGAAGTTCTGTTTGAGGGTTTAATTGTAACCATTTTTTTTTTCTATTTTCAATCTTTTCAGGTTTTAATTGTAACCATTTTTTTTCCCTTGCAATAAAATAGAGAAGTTTTGTTTTTATTGGTTGTGTTTATGAATTTTGAATTTTATTTCTTCTTATATTTCTTTGTAATGGCTTTGCTGGAGAATTGGCTATTATACTAATAGCTATTCATGGTGAAATTGCATGGAAATTAAGTTATAGAATGTATTGTTTCTTTCTGGATGTTCATAAATGGGTGATTTTTTTTATTACACTATAGAATGAAATGAAAGTAAAAAATATCTTATCAAGTATAGTGCTCATATAAAAGGTTTTATATTGGAAGACAAAAACAAGGGGTTCTAAAGGACACCAAAATATAAACATTAGGGATCACATAAATCATCGCCTTGAAATTTTTTTCCATCCTTCGAAGCCTTCTACCATGGTCATGAATTTCAATGTCCATCTCCGAAGAAGAAGCCATTTTAATCTGCATAAACAATGAGAATGTAACATATATGTACAAAACATATGGGTGTGATTGCAACTTATGCATACAAATCCAGCAATTCATTGTTAACTTTCCCCGAAATAGTATTTGAAATTCCTTTTTCTTAAATCCCTATGTTAACTTTCCAAAGAAGTCAATGGAACTCTCCAAAGAAGTCATGCGCATAAAAGGGGATTGCTTGCATGAGTTTTATATATACTTGCTTGATGACAAGGTGTGAAGCATGAATCAGTGTGAATAATGAATCAGTGCTAAATAGTCAATGGAACTCTCTAAAGAAAAGGGTGAGAAATTTTTATCTTCTTCTATGAATAATGAATCAGTGACAAAGTACTTTCAGTGGACAACAAAAACCATATATATCTCATTTACAACTTGCTATTATAATTTTTTAGGACATGGAAAAATTATTTAGGTGAATTCTGTGATGGTTATCTAGGGAATAGGTTGCTGGATGGTGTTGGTTGTAGCAAGGGAATATGCTGAAATGGACATTCTATTGTTGAGGTCTTAGAACTGATTTGGTGAAAGCATGTGGAATTTCTCGCAATTTATTGCCTCAAAGGACAAAGATTTTTGGGGCTGGTTCTTACTCATATTTGGCTCTGTTTTCTTTGTGGGTTTCTTCTATGCTGCAATTATATCGAAGTTTCTTCCACCATCTGATAATGCTCTCATATCTGCTATACAGACGGACAGGTAACCTTTTGGTGTATATAAGTCTTATGTCTAATAAAATTATTTAACATTACTTGGTAACGTTGAGTCCTGTTTTAAACCTAATTGGGAGCTTGAGTGATTTACAGCTTTATCTAACAAAACAACTTCACTTGCTTAATGCTGGGATATTAGGTAGTCTTGAACTACTAATACAGCAGTGCATTGTTTATTCTCTGCAATATCGATGTCATCTACCTATGCCCGATATCAGCTTGCATTGCATTCAATAGATGTTGTACCATTGGGACACACTTGCTAAAAATAATACAAACTTTTTGCAATTAAAAACGCTAAAGAATCTTGAATAGATATTGAAGTTATTCTCTTCTATCTTTGACTTTGATTGTGTAGTGATAGTGCAATGGTGTTTCAAGACCAAATTGAGGAACCATGGTTTTTGATGGTCATTATACTTGTACCTTTGTTTACAATTTTCTTACAGATTACAAAAGCAGTTTTCTATGCATATCTTATCTTGTTCAAGTGATTCCTCTAAATAAGTGATTAAAGTTCATTTAGGAAAGACCAGGTGATTTGAGGGGGTACACTAAGGGTAGAGCATGTCCTAGAATTTACAATTCACAAACATCATAAAGCTCTCTTCCCCATCTTTTTTTATCATAATCTGTGCCTGCCCCTTGACCTTGACAGTGAGTAAGGATGAGAAGCAGGCCTTGAGGGCTCATGAAGGTAGACATTTGGCCAATTTGATTCGATGGAGCTCTTTTTTTTTTTCCATCCTCCATTCAACATTTGGGCAGCAAATCAATACCATTTCCTTGATTACCAAAACAAGTTCTAGAAATTAGTATCTATATATGTGTGTGTATATATGTTCTCTATTATTGTTTATTGCACACCATTTTGTTCTAGAAAAAAAATGGAACTTTTTGGCCCCATTTGTTTTCGAATATCTGGAGACTGGAAGACCAAGCATTCTAAGTGAAACAACTATATCTTAGGTCCTCTGGCTCTTTGCTTTGGAAAATGATTGCTTGTGCCATGCGCATGGTGTTAAAGTGAAATAGCATTTATGGAAGGGTACATGGCTGGTCATGCTAACTGGTGAGGCACTTGAGAGGACAAGTGTCACGGATTACCTGTTTCAGCTTTGAAGTAGGTGGCATTCTGCCATTACTAATGAAACAGATACAAAATTGATTTTGAAGTATATATGCTTTAAAGGAGGTCATGTCAAAATATATTTGTGGCAATTAGCTGTTATTCTTTCTAGGTGGCTTTTCCAATCCTTCCATAACCTCTACAAGAATGCAAATTAGTGATCCACATTGATAGAAGTAATCCTTAAAAATGCCATCAATGCCTTGTCATTTCTGTTGATCAAGGAGATTTCTTATTTCATCTCAGTCCCATTTTTGAAAGTACAACAAATGCTTTTATGTCCTTTCTTTCTTTGTTTCTTCCTTTTATTTTTTATTATATACATATATATACATACATAAAACTCTGCCGGGGTGGTTAACAATTCCACCGGTCCCAAGCCCGGGTAAAGGGGGAGGGTTGTGTTAGGTAGTCGATAGCCAACATGTAAAAAAGCCCCTCGTATCCTTTATGACAATGAATTCTACTTTGAATCAATTAAATACTAGATTGTTCCCCTCAAGTGACGCGTTGCACCTGCCTCCAGGTGTGTCGAAAAGTGAGCAAGGGGCGCCGTATCGATGCTTGGGTGCAGTGAAAAATGGGCAAAGGTTCTTGCGTTTTTTTGAACGAACGCGGATAAAGAAACTAGTCCAAGACTATAAGTTTAGGGTAACCACTTGGAATATAGAAACTTTAACTAGTAAGACGATAGAATTGGTAGATGTTATGATTAGGATGAGAGTTAGTATAGCATGTGTACAAGAAACTAAGTGGATATGTGAGAAAGCTAGGGAAATTGAGGATACCTATTTTAAACTGTATTATAGTAGTAATGATAGACGCAGGAATGGGGTAGGAATCATAATTGCCAAGGATCTTATAGAAAATGTAGTGGCAGTCATTAGGAAAGATGATAGGATTATGTTAGTTAAACTAGTTATTGGAGGGAATTTAATGAACGTTATTAGTGCATACACCCCTCAAGTAGAATTAGATGATCAGACTAAGAGGGATTTTTGGGAGCAAATGGATGAGATCTTACATGAGATACTTGTAGGAGAGAACCTAGTTATAGGTGGAGATTTCAATGGCCATGTAGGCATAGATAAATTAGGCTATGAAAAGGTGCATGGTGGATGCGGTTTGGGTGATAGAAATGAGGCTGGAGAATCCCAAAACGACGTCGTTTTAGGCTTTTTTTGTATTCTCTTACCGGTAAGAGAATATTTTCGACCCATTCGACCCTTCACTTTCGAGTTACCAGCCATTTTCCTCTTTATTAAATGGTTAGAAGACAAATAATGATTCACTCACGTTTTCTCATTCGTTAACAGTATTAAATAGATATTGTCACATGGTAGTATATTATAATTTTTCTATCCTTAAATTTTCCCCAATAAAATAGACTATTACATGTCATTGTTGATTGATTTATTTAAGAATTAATCAATTAAAACCAAACTCTAAATACGTCAAATCTATACTATATATTAAATAAAATGGAGTTTTTAACCTCAAGACTTGTGGGAGATTTAATATCTCAATGTGAATTTTCTAAATTTTTTATTAAAAAAAAAACTCAGCATTTATTGATTTGGTCAAAATCCCTTGATTAACATTTATTAACTTTTTTCAATCCACATGTCTTTCTACATGCTTGCATTTATTGATTTAGTCAAAATCCCATGATTAGCATATAAAATCCCCTCATACAAATAATTATAGATACAATCCGTGCATAGTTACTGCAATACTCTTTTCAACTTCTCACATACACTATGGTTAGTGATAAGATTGTTAAATTATTTTTATAAAAAATCTTTAAAAACATAATTTATATATTAAAAAAATTAAAAACAAATATAAATATCTATAATTATCTCGTGCATAGCACAATATTATGATGTCTGCGTGTATTCCACATATATATATATATATATATGTCTTGGCCCATTTGTAGTTTCCATTAATTAAAATTTTTGTTTTAGCTCAGCATTTATTAAATTCTCCAAAATCTTTTTGACTTCTCCTATATACACATCCTTTTTAACTTTTTTTTTTTATTTTTAACAAATACAAATATCTAAAAAAATATCTAAAACAAATATAAATATCTATATCTATCTATCTATACTTACTATATATTAAGCAAAAGGGGGTTTTTAACCCCCAAGGCCTGTGGGAGTTTTAATATCTCAATCTGCAATTTCTAAATTATTTATTAAAAAAAAAACTCAGCATTTATTGATTTGGTCAAAATTCCTTGAGTGAATGGCAAGCATTGGATTAGATATTTGGAACGTTGTTTTCTTCAATCTCAATGCCATCTTTAAAACTCCAACCTGCATCATTATTTAGCATTTTTGATTTGGCGTCAAAAAATACCCCTAACTCAGATCAATTTGCCTATTCAAAAAGAAATGCCTATCTCGCGATACACAAGATATTTATAGGATATACAATTCGTGTCCAGTTAAATCGTTAGTACACACTTTATCAAGCACGGTCTCTACACATATCAGATATATGGTTAGTAAGATCTAATGAGTGATGCGTTACTGGTGTATTTCATTTATAAAAATATCTTAAAAATAATTTATATATCTAATTGCCAAATCTTAAAAAACATAATAACTAATCAATATCTCCCGTGGCATAGCACGAATGACAAGGCTAATATGGATAAACTTAGAGTGTGCTTTATTTTAAAATTTTCCTATCAGTAATCAAGGAATATATATGTAGCCGGCTCATGTAAAAGGGGTGTTTTATGGGTAAATAACGTATGGACCATTGAATCTTTATTGTCAAATAATATTAAACATAATGTACACCCAGTCATTAAGATAAAAAAAACAAAACAACAAAAAAATTAATATCAACATTTGCATTCATGTAATAATAATGATATATGTTAGACCAACTGATCATTTTCAATTTAAATTTGTTCAGGGCCGGCCCTAAAAATTTCAGGCCCTAGGGGCTGAGCGTTATTTTAGAGGACTTTCGGGTCCCTTGTCATTAATACGCCGCAAAAACTTCGGAATTTTATTTACATATACTATTTGCTAATGAACTTTCAAGTTGCTTGAGTAAAACTTGGCGAATCATTTGTTTATGAAGATTTGTGTCAATTGTGACTAATTTATTTTTATTTGTTTTTTTTAGGTGATGAGAGTCCTTGGCAACAGTAATGTTTTTATTTTGGGTCTCTTTTCTAGTTGGATTCGCTTTTCTTTTATGAGAGGCCTTCTATTTAAGTGGTTGTTTGGTTTTTGAGTGCTTTAACAATAATTGGACTTATTTAAACTTAAGGGGACTTACTCGATAAGCTTCTGTATATAGTCCAATAGTAACCATAGTGCAAAGATCCCGCTAATCCAAAACAGAGAACACTTGCACCAATTAAGGTCGATGAATTTTGAAAGTGTTACCAATGTTTTGTTATCCCAGAATTAAAGAAGAGATCGTTTTATTTTTTTGTTATAAAGCTTTGATCGAGACAGTGGTTTGACATCTATAGCCAGAAAGGTGGACTTCCTGTATAAACGATGCCGAAATGACTCAACGGAAAATGTCAGAATATTGCCCAAAAAAAAAAAAACGTGATTTTCTGGTAAAACTTACAAATGTATGACTAAATTGGTGTTCTTTTTAAGTTGTATTTTTGTTTGGTGATTTAGGCCTTGGATGCTTGAACTTGGTACATGCGGACTATATCAGTAAAGTTCCCTTAATGTTTTTATTATAAAAGTTCCAGATTAAAATGTAATTCGATCATTTAGCACTCTCGAAAACAAACACACCGGATACTAAAATAGGAGCCTCTAAATAAACAGTCACTAAAAGACCCAAATAAAAACATGTTTTGCAGGCTTATATAAAAAACAAATAAAAAAATTAGTCACAATGAAAAATACAAACAAATGGCCCAATATTTCTCAAGCAAACTAGATTGGTCATTAGGCAATAATATATTTTTTGCGGCGTATACTACAAGGGACCCAATTTATAAGCTCGCCTAGGGCTGAGAATTTTTTAGGGCCGGCCTGAAAAATTAATTAAATTGAAAATATGAGGTGACATTGTTTGGTCGACGAAGATATCAATTATCGATGTTAACACACTAAATCTCGTAGTATTGTATGTTTCATCATTAATTACTGGGTTTGACTAGTTGGATATTAATATATTTATTTGACTAAAGTTGTGAGTCATTTGCATCCTAACTAAAGAAACAATTGTGGATTGCCATAACTCATAAAAACCACACTTTTACATTGAGGCGGGCTACATATCAATATTCCTTTGTATTACTGATAGAAATTTTTTAACAACTAAGCAATCCTCTAAAGTTTTATCCATATACCTGTCATTCGTGTATGCACGGGATATTAGTGGAAAAGATATATTTATATTTTGTTGTGTAGATTTTTTAATAATAAATTTATCTGATTATTAAGACTATTTTATAAAGGCTTACAAATTACAAATTCCAAAATTTTTCATACTACCATTATTGTAATATGCATAAGGAGAACGTTGTGAAAAAGATAAACATAGGTACTTAAGCGTTTAAGGCTAGTACATCCCGATTAATCGTGATCACATGAATATAAACTATTATGCTAATGAGAGGATTTTAAATGCTGATGAGATTACCTGCAGTGTGAATTTTGAGCGCAAAATAATAATTTGAAATGTGTTACTAGCATGAGGTTGAACAAGACATGTGATTTGAACAAAGTATAGAAACTGCTTAGATACAAAACGGAAAATTACATTGACCAAATCAATATTTAAAATGCCTGAGGTTTTTTTATTAAAATAAACAATAATAGACAAATTCGGCAGATTGAAGATATTTACAAATTCCAAGTCAGAAGTTCTTGGGGTAAAAAACATCCTTTATGCTTAATCTTATATTATTAGACAAGGGCTTGGAAAAGTATCAAGAATATACTCGCATATGAGATTTAGAATAGATAGATATTCTAACAATTTGTTTAAAATTAAGAAAGATTATATATAGATTATTATAAAAAGGTTTGTGTATAAATAAGAGAAGTCAAAAAGATTTTAGAGAATTTATTATGGGAGAGGCGTATAAAGCAAAAATTTATTATATTAAGAAAACATGACAAATTCTGGGGAACAAGACTAATATTGTTTATATTTAATTAATTATATTATATATTTATATTTTCATATTGTGGAAACGGCGCAGAACATCATAATAATTGTGCAATGTACATCGGAGTGTATATTTAGATATAATATGAAGATATTTTATTTTTGGTTGGTGGTAAATTTTTTGACATAATATATAATTATATTTTTTTAAGATGTTTTTGCTTAATAAAATAGATTTAAACAGATCTTATCATAGAACACTGGAGTGTTATCTGTGAGAGTTAAAAAGAGTATTGCAGTACTATGCACGGATTTGTATCTATAATTATTTGTATGGGAGATTTTATATGCTACGATCCAATAGATGATTTCG